GAACCCCTAAGTATGGTGAACTGGTCTAGTGAAGCAGGTTCCTTGGTTGCTGGAGAGGCTTGAAATTAAATACTGGTGTAATTTCTGTCTGCAGGGGGGCACGTGCTGTAGCCTGCGGTTTCAGGATAATAGTGACAGAAACAAGGTGGCTCGATCCAGCCTGGATCCCCTGAGTTCCGCTCGGTCTTCTCCACACATACACACACACACACACACACACACACACACATATCCTCCGCCTCTCACCATTTACTTTCTTCCTGTAAAGTTCCTGGGCTTCTCATGATATATATGCTCCCGCCCCTTTGCCTGCTCTTCTTTGAATTGTGGTCTGTTCACTCCTTGTCTGAGTGCAGAAGTCCTGCTACCAGCATACAAGTTCAACAAGACATAGCAAACTTCAATAAAGTCTGGATAACTGACCCGCAGAACACTGCCATCTTGTGGGTAATTAACATCCTGCAATCAGTATTAGTGCAGTGTGTTACATAAACATTGCACTCGTGATCCACTGTTTGTGGGTGCAATGCTCTACAGGCTCCTAAGCAAAAAAAAAAACCTGAAAAAATATGTGTATTTATTATTTTTTAGGTAAAGGTGAACTTAGCCTTTAAAATGCTGAGCATGGCATCTTTCACTTAAGGCAACTTTTATTTAAGGCATCTCATGCAGATACTTTGGTTTGTGACAGGATCACTTAAAGGGTAACTCTCTTTTCATGGAAAAAAAAATATGTATATACAATATACAATTGATAGACATGCCTTATTGTAATTTAATGTTATTAAAAATGTAATTTCCTTTTTAATCTGCAACTGCTGTCATTCTGTGTACAATTCATTACAATATGGCAAGCTAGAGGTAGTGCACCAGAAATGTAATTTCTTGCTTGGCTCATTGATTTTCCCAAAAATCTGCACTAAGATACAAGTCAGATTTTAGACATCCCCTGCAATAGGAAATTCAGTTTTGGTGATATACTCCACATGGGGTTAATACTTTTAAAGGGATGACAACACTTCAGCTTTTCACATCAGAACCTGAGAGTGCACTGTGTGATTGTAATGAACCAGTCCCTCCCATTCAGAATCGGTATGCATGTGACATGGCGAAACAAACAGCTATTTATTCAGAGCAGGAAAAGGGTAGAAATCTGCAAACAATTGGCATAAATCACGCCGAGGGGATTGTTTTTTTTTTTTCTAACAAAAGTGGATTTACACTTTAAATAAGCCTGGGTGTTTGACTAAATATCTTACTTGCCGATTTCTATCTAGAATTGACTTCTCTCTTTACTTGCATTAAAATACAACATAGCAATATTCTCTGTTCATATATATATATATAAGGTGCAGCGCTAAAATAAAAATAAATATCATATTATAGCATAAAATCAATTGCAATATTCTCTGTTACCGTATTTGCCGGCGTATAAGACGACTGGGCGTATAAGACACCCCCCCTACTTTTCCTGCTAAAATGTAACTGTTTTTAAGCTATCACTCGCCGTATAAGACTACCCCTCTTCCAGTGCACACCAGTGGGAGGAATAGTGCCCCCTCATCGGTATCAGTGGGGGGAATAGTGCCCCATCATTGTATCAGTGGGGGGACATAGTGTCCCATCATTAGTATAGACATGGTGCCCCATCATTGGTTTCATGTAGGAGGAATATGTCCCAACATTGGTGTCAGTGGGAGGAATCTGTCAATTCATTGGTGTCAGTGGGGGTGTAATAATGCCCCATCGTTGGTGTCAGTGGGGGGTGGAATAGTGCCCATCGTTGGTGTCAGTGGGGGTGGAATTGCCCCATCGTTGCTCAGTGGGGGTGGAATATTGCCCCATCGTTGGTGTCACTGGGGGGTGGAATAGTGCCCGATTTTATCGTTGGTGTCAGTGGGGGGGGAATTTGTGCCCCATCGATGGTACTCCAGTGGGGTTAGGAACTAGTGCCCCATCGTTGACAACACTTCAGCTTTTGCCCCATCATAGGTATCACGGGAGAGGAACTAGTGCCCCATCATTGGTATCAGTGGGAGGAATAGTCCCCATCATTGGTATCATTCACAATCAATGATGGGGCACTATTCATGGCCCACTGACACAAACAGCTGACTTTTTCTCGTTATTGCTGCTGCAGCCAGCATAAAGTGTTGCAGCAGCATCTCTACAACCACTTACCTGTGGTCCTGCAATCATTTTCGCGCGAGCGGGATCGTCCACCCTCTTTTTGATTGGCCGCCTGTGTGCCTTTCCTGAGCACAGTTCTGGCGGCCAATCGCTTACAGGAGGCGGAGTCGAAAGCCGCCTGGGCGAACCCAGTGGACCGAAATGAACGCAGCCGCGCTTCCTGGACCGGATCGTCTGGGACCGGAACCAGTAAGAAATAGCCCCTGCCCACCCCTGACTTAGTGTCCCTTCCGTTAGGGGAAGGGGGGGGGGGGCGGCGGCGGCACCGCGCCGCCCCCCTAAAAAGTTGTGCATGTCATGTTATACATAAATATTCTCTGTTCCCCCGACTTTTAGAAGATTTTTAAGGGCTAAAATAACATAAAAAGTCGTATTATACGCCGGCAAATACTCTGGTATTTATCAGCCCATGTTGTACTGTACCTCTTCGCAGTCTTAGACCATCTGAATACTTCCTGTTTCCAAATCTACTTTATCATGTACAGATTGCACTATTAACATAAATAAAAAGGGGTTTCTAGATCACTAGTAAAATGAGGTGGCCTGGTGCACTACAGCGATCCCTAGATTAAAAAAAAAACATTTTGGTGGTTACCAATATGCATTTCAAGGCTTATTTTTTAGTTTTGGAGTACAACTTTAACCTCTTGAAGTTTCACTCAACCTATCAAAAAATAAAAGTCAGCAGCTACAAAAACTGTAGCTGCTAACTTTTAAAAAACAGCCACTTACCTGTCCCTCGGTCCCCTGGTGTGTCCCCCGCAGTTCGTCTCACTGGCTGTTCTGTATTCCAGGAGGCTGGCATCTTCAGTGTGGGCACCCGGCTTTGATAACTTGTGGCTTCACAGCCGGGTACTCACTGCGCATGCGTGAGTAGCGCTGTGCTTCATGAATGGTCCTGTAGTCTTCTGGTACCTGTCACGTGTCCCAAAAGACTACAGGGAGGGAGGGAGGGAGGATACCTTCCGCTTCCAATAGCCTAGGCGATTGGACCAGAAGTGGGAGCGGGTACCTGTCAAATTCAGGTACTCGCTCCCCAAAGGTGCTGATCCTTAATGGGGAGTGGGGGAGCAGTCCTTAAAGCGGAAGTTCACATTTTGGGTGGAGCTCCGCTTTAAGTTTACATTTAATCTTAGAGAATTCTCTTGGACAGTTTTAAAACTGACATGCGAGATTTCCCAATACCTACCTCAGCTAGCATTCTTTATTTTAGTTGATATCTATTTTATTTCCACCTGTATATATAAGTACACTGAGTAAAATCATGCTTTACTTGTAGTGCTTGCTGTTGCTTGCTGTCAGCAATTTTTTTTATTTTATCACAAAACAAACAGTGGCCACAATGCTGCTTCATGTTCAACTATCTTCTAGATCAGGGTTTCTCAACCAGGGTTCCATGCAACCCTAAGGTTCCTCCAGAGGTTGCTAGGGGTTTCTTGAGCAATGAACAGTTTCAGCCTCTCATATAAGTTCCCACTGACACCATTGATCTTTTTAGCTATCTGTAAAGGGATAATTCTTCCCAGAAACCACAAGTAAAAGGAGCATTCTTCCTACTGATCATCACATTGATGTATCATGAGTTGTACATATAGCCACTTTTAACAGGGGTTCTCTGAGACTTGAAAGTTATCTTATGGGCTCCTCTGTCTCGAAAAGGTTGAGAGACTGTTCTAGATAAAATTTTATATATATATATATATACATACTGTATATTTATTATTATATTATCATTATTATTCAGCATTCATATAGCGCCAACAGTTTGCTCAGCGCTTTACAATATAACGGGAGACAATACAGCAACAATACAGTTCAATACAAGAAGGATTTGAGGGCCCTGCTCCTTGGAGCTTACAATCTAGGAGATATATATATTGTAAAGCGCTGAGCAAACTGTTGGCGCTATATGAATCCTGAATAATAATAATATACAGTATGTGTATATATATATATATATATATATATTCATCATTACTGTTGCAAATCCACATCTTCTGAAGATGCAGAGAGATATCAGAGCAACTCAGCCGCTTCCTACCAGCTATCAGTTGGACACACTTGGTCAAAAGTTGTGTCAATGCTAACACTGTCAATTGATCGTCTTACATTTTTTCATGCACACTTTAGTCTTGACAGCCAAGGAAAAAAAAAAACCCATACTATTGGAATGTCCAGAATTTCTGCTTGACTACACAATCTGCTGCAGCATTCTACCAGTCACCTCTATGTTTGTGTGAACGAACCAGAATTTTTTTTAAAAAAACTGTCCTTTTTTGGCTACTCTTTATTCTTTGCATTTATCTTGCAAGGTTAAATTGATGGACAATAGTCTTCTTTTACTTTGTGAATGTAGTTATGTTTAAAAATTTCACAAACAATGCTGTTTATTTGAAAATTGCTTGATGTTTTATGGCATTGTATAGGGATCATTCAAGCTATAATGAGCATCATCAAAATGCAAAATCATTGTATGTATCACTTGTAGGTGAAAAATAATTTGTCAGAGCTTTCGGTCTGGCCTTCACTGAGTGAACTAGTTTAATTAGAAAGCCCTTAAAGTGATTTTAAGCCCTCATTTACACCAGTGTGGCTTTGAGATCACGCTACTTCCTGCAACTTCAAAGCTGACTATTCAGTGCGACTTCTTTGTGGCTTGCTGTCAATGCAAGTTGCCATGAAGCTGCACGAAAATAGTGTCAGAACCTTTTTTAAAGTCGCTGAACCCTGAAAGGTCCCATCACCACTAATGAGATGCGACTTTAAACTCTCACGTTGCATGACAAGTTGCACTGGTATGAACCAGAGCTGCTAAAGGTAAAATAAAATAAAAAAAAAAAAAAGTTATACTTACCTGCTCTGTATAATGGTTTTTCACAGAGCAGCCCCAATCCTCTTGTGTTTGGGACCCTGCTGGCACTTCTGGCTCCTCCCTCCTGCCGAGTTCCCCCTATAGCAAGCCTGCAGTGTACTATCGAACAGATAATCAACCGATCATTCCTCGTATAGAAAGTTTGGTATGATTTTCTTATCATGTGTATGGGCCTTAAAGTGTAGCTAAAGGCAAAACTTTTTAAACATTTTTGATAGAGTGGAGAGGGATTACAAACCCTTTCAGTTTTTATTACTGTCTGTGCACCCATTAAGGAGATCCACCCTTTCGATTTGTCCTGTTTGCCATTATCATCGAAAGTTGAAATAAAATAAAATCCCAAGCATTGGGTTGTCCCCACAAAAGTAATAGAAGGCAAATTTTCCAATGGGGACACTAGTTCTGGTGACCTTGGGGTCCCCAAGGAATATCCTTAATTTGCAGGGATTTTCTCTTACTTCCCCTTTTGGCTAAATCTCCGGTTTTGGGAAATCTCTGCAATGGGACATGAAAAATATATGACAGGGGTTATAACCCTCCCTTGCTCTATCCAAAATGAAAAAAAAAAAAAAACGTTTTGCCTATACTGTAGTTCTATTTTAAGTTATGCAGTGGAGGTTACTGACTTGCAGGTATTTTCTTCCAAGGAAGTTCTCCTCATTGCAGGCTCCCTCTTCACCATTGCGCACATTTAGGGGATGGGCAACCAAGAATTTGCTATGGGCTTCATATGTTATGGTTACATTCCTGGTAGGAGCACGTTTAGAATAAAGTTGAAGTCATTTTTAAGCTATATGGCAGGGGTCTCCAAACTTTCTAAACAAATGGCCAGTTTACTGTCCTTCAGACTTTACGAGGGCCGGGTTGCAGCCAGTGGTAGTGGAAAAGGCCCCACCGCCAGTGGGAAAAAAATAATGCCCCATTGTTTGGTGTCAGTGGGAGGATGTCATTGGACCCTGTCATTTGTGTCACTGGAAGGAGTTGTGCCCCATCGTTGGTGTCATTTGAAGGAGTTGTGCTCCCTTCATTGGTGTAAGTGGGGGGGAATTATACCCAATTGTTGGTATCAGAAGAAATAGTGTCCCAAGGTCCAGATAAAAGCAAGCAAAGGGCAGCAGTTTGGAGTCCACTGCTATATGGTTTTAGCCAGTAGGGGCTGTACAATCATTGAATCAGCTTTGGTATGCATGGAAGCTTTCATAAGTTCATCCTAAAGATATACCCAGTCATAAAAACAAGTAGAGGTTCTCCTCCCAATCTGGGAATGCATCTGTGTGTTTCTTATGTAGTGCATGGGCACAAAGAATGCATTCTATATACGCGTACAGTATAATTCTTCAAAGTACCATAAAAAAAAAAACCTCACAGAAATACAGCAAAAGTCCATCAAATGTTTTCAAATATAATTAAATGTTCCCAGCTCTTTCCACACCCATTTTCCCAGTTTGGCTCCCTTGGCTCTCTGCAGGCTGCCCTCTGCCCCAAGGCTGTTCATCTGCAATGCTTTTGAAGCAAGATTCGTCTTGTTGCTTGTGTCAATAGAGGCATTGTTTAAACTCTATCTACTCTAGATCTTCTGTCATCTTTCAGAAAGCATCTCCCCTAAACTCTAGCTAGAGACTCAGCAGGATCCTGTCACACCTTCTACCAAAAAATTAAGCTGGGCCCTCAGCTTCTACCTCCCAACAACCACAAAAGCTGTTTGCAGTTTGACACATCTGAGCTGTAAAATGGGCTTCTAAAAGCCACGGAGGCACTTAACAAAGCCAACATAATAGCAATTAGTTAATAGGACACAGGTCAGACCATTGCTAGTGCAATGTAATCAGCAAGGAGGTGACAGTGTTGCTATTGCTGTTAAAAATAGTTTCATAGTTTCAAAGTAAATCTTTACAAACATGAGTTTTTCACACTAAAGCTGAACATACACTGATCAAATTTTGTCTGATTCCTGCTAACTCGGTCAAAATTTGTTCCGTGAGTGGGCCAGGTGGCACCACTTGGCTGGAACCAGTTGGTGAATTCTCAGCCAAACAACACCTTCAACCAATCAGATGCAGGCAATGTTCAGGTATTCTGACAACCACGGGTGCCAGCGATTAAAATACAAAAGCCGGGACTGCAGGTTTGTCCATCCATGCTGTTTAGCATAGATTGGGTGATCAAGTGACTTCTCTAGCTCAGCCCACGTGAATGGCCAGTTTAAGCATTGAGCTGGGATTATATATATGATTAACCTACTGTATATTTCCAAAGGAATGGTAAAGTGTCATATAACCACAGTTTGATGCTCTAGATCGGGTGTCGGCAACCCGCGGCTCCAGAGCCGCATGCGGCTCTTTTTCACCTTGGCTGCGGAAGTGAGGGGGGGGATGGCTGCTCCGGAGCACACTGCCCACCAGGTGACAGGCAATAGGGCAGCAATGGGCAAACTACAGCCCGGCGGACCTTTTAATCTGGCCCGCGGAGCTAGGCTCCCACTAGGCTCCTCTCACAGTCCGCCCTGAAGACCGGTGTAGCATGAAAATCTGTCTCCTATGAGGATCTGTCCCCCTCAACGTATCTGCGCATGTGCCGGAGATCGCCGATCGGCTGCTAATGCCTGAAACTGGCATATGCACAGATACTTCGAGGGGGACAGATCCTCATAGGAGACAGATTTTCATGCTACACCGGAACGGCGCGGGAACACGGCGAGAGGAACGCACGGAGCAAAGGTAAGTAAATTGACACAGGGGGGACTTGGGGACTTAATATGGGGGGTGAATTAATATGGGGGATGAATTACTATAGGGGGGATGAATTACTATATGGGGGATGAATTACTATGGGGGATGAATTACTATATGGGGGATGAAATACTATATGGGGGATGAATTACTATATGGGGGATGAATTACTATGGGGGATGAATTACTATGGGGGATGAATTACTATATGGGGGATGAATTACTATGGGGGATGAATTACTATGGGGGATGAATAACTATATGGGGGATGAATTACTATGGGGGATGAATTACTATGGGGGATGAATTACTATATGGGGGATGAATTACTATATGGGGGATGAATTACTATGGGGGATGAATTACTATATGGGGGATGAATTACTAAGGGGGATGAATTACTATATGGGGGATGAATTACTATATGGGGGATGAATTACTATGGGGGATGAATTACTATATGGGGGATGAATTACTATGGGGGATGAATTACTATGGGGGATGAATTACTATATGGGGGATGTATTTTCAGTTTTAAAAATGTGGCTCTCAAAATAAATTTCAATTGTGGTTTTTGGCGAGATTTGGCTCAGTTGAAAAAAAAGGTTGCCCACCACTGACCTAAGGCTATGATTGTGATTATGACGATACACTGTGGCCCTGATTAACCCTTTGCTTATTGGGCCCTTAAACCCCCTTCATGACCAGAGCGCTTTTTGCAATATATGCAGTGTCGGATTTGTTTTAAATGTTGCAATGGTTTTGCGGCTCCCAGTCTTTTTTTCCCTCTCGGAAACGGGTCCAAGTGGCTCTTTATGTCTTAAAGGTTGCAGACCCCTGCTCTAGATTAATGTAATTCAGCCCCAAAAGTATAGCAAACCTGAGCACAGACTATCCTTTCATTCTCTTTCCTGTTGCTCGATAGGACTTAAGTTCACTTTACAAAAAAAAATTTGTAAATTTTTTTGCAGGGGAAAAATATGCATTTATTATTTTTTTGTTAGGGACCTGTAAAGCATTGCACCGACGATGAGCAGATCATGGGTGTAATGCCACAGTCTTGCATACTGTCTGCCTGCACCTCCGACATGAGCAGGCAGTTACACAATGACAGATAGCTTAATGAACTACCTAGAGTGTCCAAAAGCACCCTGGTAGTTCATTGAGATCTACAAACAGACAGCTACAAAGGCTGTCAGGGCTTGTAGTTCTCCCATTCACAGAACACTGTAAATGAATGATGTGGCCAGGCGGGCCGCATTTTTTTAGATTGTGACAGCAAGCAGGGGGGAAGATCTCCAGCTTGCTGTCAAGATGGGGTCTCTGGGGAGGGGGGAGGGGGGTTTGGTTTAGTGCATTTGTAACAGGGGCGGACTGACAATTCATGGGGCCCCCGGGCAATAGGGGATCATGGGGCCCCTGTGCCCTTGCCCAAACTCAAAAAAGCCTATGAAAAAGGTACCAAGGGCATCTCATGGGGCCCCCTACTGACCCCGGGCCCTCGGACAGTGCCCAAGTTTCCAAATGGTCAGTCCGCCCCTGATTTGTAACATAATACATGTTACACTCTGAATATGGGTGTAACATGCAACATGGTACAAAAGGTGAACTTATCCTTTAAGAAAGACAGCCCCTTGCCATTTTGCTGTCAACACTGGCACTATTATAAATTGACTGTTCTCCATAATATCTTCTGACTGCAGAGTAGTCTGTTCAGAAGCACTTCCAAGTCCATTTATTTTTCTGCTATCCCACTCATTCTTTGTGAAAAGGAATTTTGTGATCCCCAAACGCGATGTCTGCCCTCTGCTAAAGAAAATGAGTGCAACCTCACTTGCAAAGTGCACATTCTATTTATCCTTTAGTAAATCAACTCCATAGTGTTTATGACTCATGGAGTGTCCTGTACCACTTCACCTTTCCTATGGTATGGGCAGTTCACCATAGTTTAACAGCAGTAGACCTATTATAGGAATGAAGGATACTGCATGCAAAATGCATTATACATGGGTAGTACAAGAATATAGAAATTTCACTTGAAAAACCAATTTACAATTAAAATGCTTGCAAAATGCACAAAGAAGGAATAAAGACACAATGGGGTTGATTTACTAAAGGTGAAAAGAATGTGCACTTTGCAAGTGAAGTTGCACTCATTTTCCCTAAAGTGTAGTAAATGTTCTGCTGATTTCCATCATCCAATCATGAGCAAGCAAAAATGTTTTCTTTTTTTTCCCTTACATCTGATTGGGTAATCTTTACAAAGGGAACCTTTACTACATTGACATTTACTAAGAGTGCAATTTCACTTGCAATGTGCACAGTCTTTTAGTAA